TATAAATACATCCCACTTTCTTCAACTCTTATTTCCCCTCAAAAATGCATTTACCGGCCGGGCGCGGTGGCTCACGCCTGTAATCCTAGCTCTCTGGGAGGCCGAGGCGGGCGGATTGCTCGAGGTCAGGAGTTCGAAACAAGCCTGAGCAAGAGCGAGACCCCATCTCTACTATAAATAGAAATAAATTAATTGGCCAACTAATATATATATGTATAAAAAAATTAGCCGGGCATGGTGGTGCATGCCTGTAGTCCCAGCTACTTGGGAGGCTGAGGCAGAAGGATTGCTTGAGCCAGGAGATTGAGGTTGCTGTGAACTAGGCTAACGCCACGGCACTCACTCTAGCCTAGGCAACAAAGCGAGACTCTGTCTCAAAAAAAAAAAAATAAAATAAAAAATAAATTTTAAAAAAAATGCATTTACCATTGTAGCCAGTGGAAAACTTTCTATTAGTTTCCAAAACTGATAATCACTGTCATTTACTAACTACTGGCATTTAGCAATCCTAAATATAACTTCAAATGCTGTTAATTTGTTATATCTTCAACTAGAAGTTAGCATCTTTTTAGCATTATCTCTGTACTTAGGAAACCAATGCAATCTAGTGAAACATATTTCCCACTTAAATTGTAGAGACTGATCTACTTATTTTCACTATTGAAATTTCTATTCATTCTGAGTCTATAGCATTTTGAACCTAAAATGTATTCCTTTTGCTACTTCCCTCAAAACAAATCACTTTAATTATATTTAATTAATGGAAAGTATATATGTCTATAAAATTCATAATCAAAGGTGTTCTATGTAGTATGCTTCTGAGGATGAATTTTATAAATATATATACACACACATATTTGAGTTCATGATGCAAGTTATTACATTTTACAAACAGTAAGTAAATTTCACAGATTCCGTATCAATGTTAAAGCTTAACAATGATGTCTAGGTGACAGCTGAGTGACTTCTTAAGTTGTTCACCTCAACAGTGAGTCTGGTTAAGGTCATCAGGTCAATTTTCTATTTCTGGCTTATCAAATGATAAGCTGATGGTAACTATATACAAAACATATTTTAAGTGATCTCTAATAATTATAAATTAACCTCAAAGGATTAGAGGCAAAAAGCTAAGAAGTTGCCAATATCTCATTCAGCTATTTGCAAAGGTCTATATTTCCTTTTTATATTGATTAATACATTTTCACCACAAATGGTAGCCTTTTTGCTTACATTCAAACTAGTAGTACTTCATATATATAAAGATCTTACCTGAACACTTATCCTCGAAGTGGGTTGCTAAGTTTGACATCTTCACAAAGGAGGGTGCACTTTTTTGAAATTTTGCTTTAAATGTAATTGCCCTTATATCATCATCAAACAAGCATTCACAGGATGACCAAGGTGTTGTATGTAATTCTAGGTTTTCTAGTATGCAATTGCGCTGAACAAAAAGATATTTAAATTCCCAAATATAATCTTAAACAGAAATAAATAAAAACAAAAAGTTACCAAAAAGGAAAAAGTCCAAGCTCAGAATCACACTAAAATAGATTGATGTCACTAAATCAGTTAAATATAACTTTTATCACTAAAAGAAACAAAATATGAATGTTGCATTAAGGCAATAGGATAAGGATGCTAGAGATAATTTTAACAAAATCTTTTCTAAAGATTTCTTGGCCTCCTAAAGTAGTCAAATTTGTCATAATCAACTGCTATACAGAATAAAGAATTCTCATTTTAACATCTACAGGCAAAGATTTTTTTTAAAAAAAGGACATTGAAATGAATACAGATCTACTATAACCAATATTTTACTCATATTTTAACACCTTACTTGTCTTATTCAGCTAACTCTTCCAGAACAACAAAAGCATTTAGACACAGTAGCACCTATTTTTACTTCCCTCAGTAATAATTCTAATTCTTAAAATCACAGTAACACAGACCTTGCCAAATAATCATATTCTATATTAGTAAATTCACCTTTAAAACTATAATAAAACAAAAGGAAGTTCCTTAACACTAACTTTTCTGACAATAATTACATTACTACATTACTTTTAAATACTGTATAATGTGCCAGTGCACAGATATACCAAAATCTTAAACATTATTATAGCAATATTTATTTTGGGAAACTTTGTGTTTTTTATTTTTCACTATTATAAACAATACCATGATAAACACATTTTTAGCTAGATCTTTATGCACAGCAGTAATACATTCCCACAGTTATAATTATTGGGCCAAAGGTATCCTAAATTTTTCATATGTATTGTGAACTGTCATCAAGAAAAGTTCTGCTAATTTACATCTGCAATAGTTTGTGAGAGTAGCTGTTTTCCCATATCTTCTCTATTTCTTATGAGAAAAATCATCTATCATTATCATTTCCTGTGTTTTCAACTACTAGTAAATTTTTTCACATATTTATTGGCCATTTTTATTTCTTCTCTGGGGGCTTGTCTATTCATATTCTTTGCTCATTTATCTTTGCAGATATTTGTCTTTTGTTTATTGTATTATTTCCTGACACAATGCAATTTTTTTTCTGGTTTGTCACTTGCCTTTTAGTTTTGTATATGGCAGTTTTAATGTATAGTAGTTTTCATTGCTGCATTTAACCTACCAATCTTTTGATTCCAAATAAGTTTGCCTATATTCTCTTCTACTATTCACTGTTTCATTGTTATTTTCTTATTTTATTTTATTTTTAACCCTGACAGATGGAAAAGAATGTTTCATTGTTTTTATATTTGAATCTCCAATGCATTTGGAATTTACTTTGGCATAAACATGAAATATAGATTTAATTTTACTTTTTTCTCAAATTATTGGCTAGATGTTTCAAACATTAACTCTTCTTTTTTTTAAAAAAAGGAAAAAGTTTCAGTTTCTAATTATAAAATAAAATATATTTATTATAAAATATTTAGACAATAAGAGAAATAGGAGGTAATAGGTAAAAAAGCTTGGCCATGTTTTAATAAGCTGGCTAAAGGGTACTTAAGTTCATTATACTGAGTATTCTCTCTACTTTTGTATATGCTTAAAGGCTTTTATAATAACAAGTTTAAAAGTAAATGCAGTTGCCAACACACACATAGAATTCAAACTAAAGATATAAAGAAAAAATAAAAACCATACAAAATACTACCATACAGAAATAACCACTGCTAGCATTTTGGTATGCATATATATTTCCAGATTTTTAAATGTACATACATACTTATAGATATACTTTTAGTAAATGGGATCCTATTATACGTAAAGTTTTATAATCTACTTTTTAAACTAAATAATATATCACATACATCTTTCTAAGCTAGTGAATATACATGTTTTTGGTAGTGAATACCTTTATTTGTCCACCCAGACCACAAATGACTCCCTTAACTGTTTTTTCACCCACTGAAATAAACTCAAGCCCTCCTATACGTACTTTGTGACAATGTCTTCCTGGTCACAGTTTTTGGAATCAAATTTAGTATGGGCAATCAGATTCTCTCTGCTGGGAATTTGGAAATGGGACTGGTCTCTTGAAAGGAAAGTAAAATCAGGAAGATAGAATCACTTACGTAAGTGACCCTTCAAAATTATTATTTTCCCTTAAAAAGAATGATCTTGAGATATTGAAATAGATGTTAAAATTTAAAAACAATGGGCCGGGCGCAGTGGCTCACGCCTGTAATCCTAGCTCTCTGGGAGGCCGAGGCGGGCGGATTGCTCGAGGTCAGGAGTTCGAAACCAGCCTGAGCAAGAGCGAGACCCCGTCTCCACTATAAATAGAAAGAAATTAATTGGCCAACTAATATATACAAAAAATTAGCCGGGCATGGTGGCGAATGCCTGTAGTCCCAGCTACTTGGAAGGCTGAGGCAGGAGGATTGCTTGAGCCAGGAGTTTGAGGTTGCTGTGAGCTAGGCTGACGCCATGGCACTCACTCTAGCCTGGGCAACAAAGCGAGACTCTGTCTCAAAAAAAAAAAAAAAAAAAATTTAAAAACAATGGTTATGAATAAAGGTATGCTGAATGAATGAATAAATGAACAAAGAACAACTACATTTTACTTCCTGTATATATAAGTTTTCAATAATAACCTAAATACCATAGAATATCTAGAGACAACTATAATTTCTCTTCTATTAATCAAATAACTATTAATTTTAAAATAACATTCGCATTAAGCATGGAGCAATCTGCTTTGCTACAGCTCCATGATACCTTTGACCTACATTTTGTCTATCATGCACTAGACTCATGTTCCTGGCTAGGATGTGGTGGTCAGTGATCATCAATACATGTTTGTCAGATTTCTCAACTGAACAAACATCTGTTCCTGTTTGATCCTAACTTAAAAGTCAAAAATCAGACTTATCTCAAATCCTAGTTACAGGCTATTAATGATTAAGAGAGACAACATGACAGATCCAACCTATAGAGAACTCTGGTAGGCAGAAGTTTGGAAAGAAGCATTAACTCCTTCAGGTAAAAAAAATAATGAGTCATACACTAAATCAATCTCTAAATTAATTTAGCAAGGTAAAATAACTCCTAAGCCATTAATGAAACTATCTTCAATTGCTACAACTAAAGGATCTCATAATAGCAAAGGGAAGATATTATACTATTTTAATGAAACATCAATTCCATTTAACCCAATACACCATAAAGAACTGATTTATACTTTAAAGAAAATGTAATCATGGGCCATTTTTTATTTTTATTTTTTTGAAAGACAGTCTCACTCTGTTGCCTGGGCTAGAAGTGCCCAGGCATCAGCCTAGCTCACAGCAACCTCAAACTCCTGGGCTCAAGTGATCTTCCTGCCTCATCCTCCCAAGTAGCTGGGACTACAGGCACGAACCACCATGCCCAGCTAATTTCTTTTGTTCTATTTTTAGTAGCCCGGCTAATTTTTTCTATTTTTAGTAGAGACAGGGGTTTTGCTCTTGCTCAGGCTGGTCTCGAACTCCTGACCTTAAGTGATCCTCCCACCTCGGCCTCCCAGAGTGCTAGGATTACAGGTGTGAGCCACTGTGCCCAGTCTCATGGGTCATATTTTAAACATGAACATTCTCTGGCTAGCTAATAGCCCACACTTTTAAAACAACTGGAATAACAACCTGGAACACAGAATTTATTGAACAGTAATTGTGACTTGAAAGAGTTAAGGTAACTCCCCTAACATCTGCCCTATGACCAGAGAGAAGTTTATTTATCAGAGTACTTTGGCTGAAAAAAATTGTAGACGCTTCTCCAGAATTAAATTTTTAAAGAACATTATGTGAAGGAAATAAGATCCTCACTAAAAAGGTAAAGTAATATACCTGAGAATAAATTTAAGCCTTTATCTTGCCACCATTAATTATAGAAGACTTTTTAGATAACTGAATTGCTATAAGAGGTATAAAATTATAACAAGAAATTTGCAGATTATTCAATTATGATCTCTTGTATTTCAAATGTTGTCTAATCTTGCTGTCTAATCTCTTAAGATTTTCTGTATCTTAGGCTCATAAGCATTAATCATTTACCAAACTATAAATAGATTAAATGCTTTTTGGTTTATTTACCTTTTTTCTTTTGAAGTTGAGGGTACCAGGCAGCTCCAGGACCCCATAATACAAGCACATAATGTTGACCTTGGGCCTGTTCCACTGTTAACATAACTTTCCTTTGCTTCTGTCCTCTATAGCTGTATAATGCCTCTGGAAAAGGAACATCTTAGTTGGTATTATTCTACCACATGTGATACCATACTTTAATATCTGATGACAAATATATAGTGATAACCAAATGGTACACTAAAATGGTCTTGTATCTTAATTTTTTATAATTTAAAATTAAGGAGGCACTTAAGGTATTTACCCGTCAGTACAGTGATATCAATAACTTTTAGTAGTGCATGGACTAATATGTCAGGCTGAAGCTGCTCCAATTCCACAAACTCTATGCTGTTCATTCTCTGAGGCCGCCTCTGAGGAAGATCTCTGAGATAGGAGTGTTTTGAAGACACATATGCCAGTAAGTCTTGCAGTACAACATCACTGACGACACTAGAATCTAAGGAAGAAAAACATATACAAAGGATGACAACATTATATTTTTCTTGACAACATATTTTCTTAGAATTGTATTTCATGTTGTAAAGTATGCTTAGATGTAAAATATGACTTCCTTTCTACAAAACATGTACCTTATTCTTTAATCAGTTTAGATGCAAAACATAAAACCTGATATTTTTAACCAATAGAAGCAGATTTGCCATCTCCAAAAGATTTTCTCTATCCCCCCTTACTTCTCTATTTTATTAATAATATCATTTTTCTACCAATTAACCAAGCTCAACATTTGTTATTTTTTGACTCTACCACCCTGATACAGCCAATTGGTTCCCCAATCCCTGGAGTCTGATTTGATCCTGCCTTTGCCACTCTTCCTCAAGCCCCTCAGCACTGGTACAGGCCAGGAGCTGCCTCACTAGCTCTCTCCCTGGGCATGTCTTACTCTACACAGCAGTGTCCTCGCCTGTGTCTTCACCGCTTTCCCACCGCAGTAATGTCATCTGCCTTTCTTCCCATCCAAATACCACACAGAATGACAACCACTAGCCTCACAGTGCTTCCTCCTCCCGGGAATGCAGAGAGCTCTTTATCCTAACACTCATTTGGCATTTGAGCATGTGCTACTTTCTAACATTTCTCTTGATTATTGCATCAGTTATTTAATTCTTTAGTCATTACCACTTTTAAATGTTTTTCTCTCTTCTGTCTCAATTTTTTTCTCATTTTATATTAAGGTATACTTGACATACAACAAAATGTACACATTTTTAATGCACAGGTTGGTGAGTTTTATTGATTATATTTTAATCTTTCTTAAGGTAAAGGAGGTATGTTTGCATACATGATTGATTGTGAACCAAAAAAAGATCCTGGCAATAAACGTAAGTACTTTTTAGAAAGCAGACTCTATAAGCTGATTTATGATTCTTCTTTCCTTCTGCCATTAACATGCTCATGCTACACTCATTATTCACCCACTCTTCAGTGGATCAGCCACTATGTACCAGGCATTATACTAGGTGCTAAGGATACAAAGACAAATTATGTCACAATCCTGGCACTGAAGGAGTTAGGGACCTAGAAATGGACAACAACAAACCTGGGCATAGGGTACAAGAGATGCAGGTAAACATCTTTAAGAGCACACAGAAAAAGAGCTGCCTGGGAAAATTGGAAAAGGCTTTAGTGAAGAAATATTTGAACTGAGTTTTAGAGAAATGTCTAAAAATTTTTCAGGTAGCAAATAGGCCTGGGATACATTTCCAGGTAAAGAGAAGGGGTTCATGATCCTTTATGTACCATGGATGCTTCTGGTAGTCCATACAGACTCACTATTAGAGAAATATCTAGTGTATCTATTATAACAGCTTTATCGAGATATAATTCATATATACAAATTCACCTTTTCATTCTTTCTTACAGGAAGGATGCCATACTATTAATACATACACTTTTTTAGGCTCTATGTGTATTTTTGTTGTTGTTTTGAGACAGGGTCTCATTCTGTATCCCGGGATAGAGTGCAGTGGCGTCATCATTGCTCACTGCAACCTCAAACTCCTGGGCTCAATTGATCCTCCTGCCTCAGCCTCCCAAGTAGCTGGAACTACATATGTGTGCCATCACACCTGGCTAATTTTTCTATTTTTTGTAGAGACAGTGTCTTGCTATGTTGCCCAGGCTGGTCTTTAACTTCTGGCCTCAAGCAATCCTCCTGCCTTGGCCTCCCAATATGCCAAGATTACAGACATGAGTCACTGCACCTGGCCTGAGCTTTATGTTTTTCATGTAACAGTAGGTCCTGGAAATCACCTCATATCAGTTCATACAGATCTTTTTCATTCTCTTTTTATAGCTGCTTAGTATTCCACTATGTGAATGTACCATAATTTAGACAATCATTCTCCTATGTATGGGCATTTAGCTTTGTTCCAATATTTTGCCCTCACAAATAATACTGCAATAAATATCCTGTGATACATATTTTCATATTGTTGGTAGTGAATCTTCAAGGTGGATTCCTAGAAGTGGGACTGCTGGGTCAGAAGCTAAGTACATACGTAATTTTGTTAGGTATTACCAAATATCCCTCTAGAAGGGTTGTGGCAATTTGCAAGCCTCCCAACAATGTGTAAGAAGGCCTGTTTCCCCACAGCCTCACCAAAGAATATATTGCCATATTCTTTTAATTTTGACAATCTAATAGGTAGAAATGATATCTCCATGTAGTTTTAATTTGAATTTCTCTAATTATGAGTTATATTTGAGGGCCATTTTTATATTATTTTTCCCATTTTCCAATCAGGTCCTTTGCCACTCAATTTTTTAAAGTTCTTCATATATTAGAGATATTAGTTTTTGGGTGTATGTTATAAATATTTTCTCCCAAGTTTGTCAGTTGTCTTTTGACCTTGTTTATGGTGTTTTAGTTATGCAAATTTTTATTTTTCTGTAGTCAAATTTATCAGTCTTGCCTTTTACAGCCTCTAGATTCTGAGTAATATTAAGAAAGACTTTCCCAGCCAGGCATGGTGGCATACACATGCAATCCCAGCTACTGAGAAGACTGAGGCAGGAGGACTGCTTGAGCCCAGGAGTCTGAGGTTGCAGTGAGCTATGATTATGCCACTGTACTCCAGCTTGGGTGACAGAGCAAGACCCTGTTTCTAAAAAGGAGGAAAGGGAGGGGGAGGAGGAGGGGGAGGGAGAGGAAGAGAAAAAAAGAAGAGGCGGAAGTTAGCCTTTATCTCAGTGATTTTATATACTGCCTTTGCCATATATTAAATTGCCACATGTATGTTGGTCTCATTCTGATCTTCCTATTCTATTCCACTGGTCATTTGTCTACATACACCATTTTAACTGTAGAAGATCTATAGTATGTTTTAATGTCTGGTAAAGCTATTAATATCTATTTATGTCTTTATCTCTTTCTGGAGTATTTAAAATTTTTCCTCATATAGGTTTTTTTTTTTTTTTTTTTTTTTAGTTTTAAATTTAGCCAGGAACACCAAGAGAACCTCATATAGGTTTTACACATTTCTTGTTAAATTTATTTTGAAATATTTTCTTTCTTACTACTATAAATGAGTTCTCCCCTATCATTATGCATTCTGTTTATTGTTTGTGAATATGAAATCTACCGATTTTTTTATTATTAACTTTGCAGCTTATTACATCACTGAATTCTTTTATTATTTGAATTTATTTTATCTTTGATTCCCTGGTGTTTTTCAGGTATATTATCAGAGCATTTGTAAATAAGGATAATTTTCATTTTTCTTCACTCTTTCAGATGCCTCTTCTTGTCTAATTGTATTGGCTAATAACTCTAGTTTAAGATGAATAGTTGCAGAGATAGCAGACATCCTTATCTTTTTCCTGATTTTATTGAAAATGCCTCTAGTGTTTCTCCATTACATACGACACTGACATTAGGACTAAGTATATCTATTTTACTGATATATTATGGTATTAATTTTATTGTAGTTATAATGCTGTACCGATGCTAAAGGAGAAAGTATCCTAGTATGATACTGGGTAATGGTACTGTGCCAATGTTGATTTCCTGGTATTGATATTATACTAAAGTTATACAAGGTGTCACCACTGGGGGAAGTAGGTGAAGAGTTCATGGGACTTTATGTAGTATTTTTGCAATTCCCTGTGAGTTTATAATTTCATAGATAATATTTCAAAATTAAAAGTTTTTAAAATAATAAAATAAACAAATATTATCTATATGCTAATATCCCTTAAAATTTGTATCTTAATTTTAAATCTGTCCCGAGTCTTGGACTTTGTTTCCAAATCCTACGACTCCACTTGGATACCTCAAAAATATCTAAAACTTAATATGCCTAAAACATAGCACTTTGTTTTCCCTCATAAACCTGTTCCCTGCCAGTTTTTTGCAAAAAAGCCTACCTACTTAAACCAGAAATCCAGTAGCAAGAGACTGATCCTCTTCCCTCATCTCCAAATCAACACTATCAGAAAATGCTATCAACTCTATTTACAAAAATATCCCAACTCTCTATCTCCATAGACCTCCCATCATCTCTCAACCTCAGCTATTGTAACATCTTCCTAACTCTCTGATTCCACTTGGTGACCAACTCTTTCCAACAAGAACCATGGCGTTCTTTATCTCAGCCCTTTGTTAGTTTTCTTCACAGCACTCACTAACACCTGAAAATATTTGTATGTCTGTTTCATTCTCTTTTTCTGGGGTCTGACCTCCACACAAGAACGTAAGCTCCATGAGCGCAAGGCACCATTGCACTGCTGGTATATGGTGCCTGAAACAATGTAGGCACTTAAACATATATTGGCTAGATGAAGAACACTATTTTGGTTATTTTATGAGAACATGTCAGTGTTGATTTTCTGCTGACGAGCCACCCTAGGACATAGTGAAACCTTCCCTCTCCAACCATAGTTATTGTTGTTATAATTGTTGTTATTCTCACCTTATTCTGCCTTTCTTTGAAAATTCAAAGGTTGGAATTCCATGTCCTATCTTCCATATATGTCATAAAATTTTCCTGTTATTCTAGTTAACTTCCTGTATAAGTAATATATTTCCCTAGCTCTAACATTCCCTAATATTTCCATTATATTCTCTCAGTATTTTATCAAATATGTTTTGTTAACTTAGTATTTCTCCCACTAATCTTACTATATTATTATTATATTACATGCAGTTTGAACACCTTATATTCATTATCTCATTTAATCTTCGTAACAACCCTGTAAGGTATGCATATATTTTTATTTCCATCTCATCAATGAGAAGATGGAGTATAATGAAGTTCAATAACTTGCCTAAAGACAAAGATTCTGCAGGGGTGGGGGGTGGTCAAGACTCAAATCCTGGTCTATTTGACTCCAGAGTCCACAGCTATTAATACTAGTTTATACTGCTTTCCTTACTTTGTTTCCTTTCTTTAATTCCCTGGAGTTTCTGCTAGTTTCTTCATTTGACAGCTTATTGCAAAGAAGAGAAAATGGATATCAGAGAAGGTAGCTTTTCCTAACAGTGGGAGATAGAACAAGGATTTACTTTTTTTATTACCTCAAGAATTCTCATTAGAGGCTTGGAAATTCCACAGAAGAACCTCAGAGATCCATGGAATGGTTTAGAATTATAAGCAAAATTTTGTGTCTGTCTACATAAGTCTGTTTTTCCTGGAGAAATGGCCCACAGCTTCTCTAAGAGGTCTATGACTCCCTAAAAGGTTAAGAACCACCACTATACTGACTCTCTAAGAAAAATAGGAAAGTGAAACATGAGCTCTAATACCTCTTAATATAAATGTGATTTACCATGTACAAGTTCATTTAAAAAATATTCTATTTTCATTCTTATTAAATAAACCAATACTCTCTAACTAATGGTTTAGAAAACATTTTATAAAAGAACTATTTTAACTCTAATCTTTCTTAGTATGCTTATATTCTTTAAATACTAAATGATTACATTCAAAATGTGTCTTACATTCTTCTGGCTGAACAGATGAGTAACTCCCAAGGTTTAATAACTGACTGGTAAATGTTGATTGTAGTACTGTCTCACCAACCCACTGATCCTCATGAACAACAACATCTAGAGAGAAATAAAATAAAGATCTTATTATGCCATAAATTCTTTCACACTGTGGTTATCAACTTACCAACCATAGAAAAATAGTATGTATACCTCCCAAATGCCAGGCAACTAAAGTTCAAATAGGTTAAATGACCTGCCTAAAGGCAGAAAATGATAAAACAGCAAATCCAAAGTCTGAACTTACGTATGTCTGTATACAGGTAAAATAACAAAATTGCTTACATATATTCAAATAATACAAATATGGAAGCTCACTGCTCTACAAAGAAA